TGAATAAAAAGAATATCCATCATCACCATGGTAACCACACCCCCATGATTCATTTTCCTTGTTTTCCTGTCCTAAAAAGATATGATATAGATGTTAATCTATAATGATACAGCAATAATAAGCAAATAAAATAAATATTTGCTATTACCAAGCATGAGCATATTATTTATATAACCTAAATCGTTTATTTTTCTATCGGGTTGCTTTGTACAATATCCGATTCCAATCATTCTATTAAGAAAATAGAATATAAAAGATCACCGGAACAAAGATGGTACGAAATAATTATTAATATTACCTATTTTTTCCTTTGTTTATAATTTTAATTTCAAAGTAAAATATCCCACACTCTGAAGGAATTGGATTGTTTGCTCGAACGATTACAGCTTTATAGTCATCAGGATCTTAAAAAATTTTTAATAAATTAAATAAACTATGGTGACATTCCTTTAATGCCGATGATTACATAACATATTAAATACGTTTCTGCGAGATTTCATATTTTCATATTACCTGTATAACTCACTTTAAGTCCACTTGAATTTATTTCAATAAATGGCGATTTATCTTCAATATCCCATGCAGTCGGTAAAATAATATCATTGTACGAAATTATTGACCCTAAAAATTCCAAATCATCCATTGCTGTAGGTTAAAATTCAATTTTGTTAACGAACGGTGAACAAAGTATTTATAGAAATATTAACGAACACAATGTAATATTTGTGTATGCTTATTTGTATTTTGTACTATCGTTACAAGCTAAACGATAGTTACAGAATATTCTTAAGTTTTATTTATATATTTGTTCTTTTTAAAGTCTGCGAACAACTGGCGCGACCCCGAAAGTGATCCGCGCCACAGCATATTTCGGGACATGTGATTGAAGGTCATTGGTTAGTTTTTTTTTTACTCCCGCTACCATTACCGTTATTCATAAGAGTTCGAAATATGAGCCTTCAATTTCTTCTTTATGGACATATATTACAAAAAAATTAAAAATCATATTCAGATTTTATTCAGATTATATTTTTTAAAATGAGAACTTTCGTAAATTTCCTGAATATTTCCGATTTCCTGGTTATAATTATTTTTATGGCATAAAATTATAACCCGAAAATCGGAAATATTCGGGAATTTAGAAATATTCAGGAATTTAAAAGGGATCTTATTACGAAAAATGCTCATTTTAAAAAACAATAATCTGAACAAAATCTGAATATGATTTTGATTTTTTTTTTTTTTATAGGGGTTAACATTTATAAAGCGAAGCGAAAAGAATAAGTTGATCAGAGCAATCCTTCATGTACTTTATTTATAATTTAATGTTACCCTTGCGAATCTAACCTTTGTTAATACTGTACCTACTCAAAGTTATAAGTAGTAGGCCCATTAAGTTTAAAATGATATATGTTTTCATGAATTTACAGATTATGAGAGGTTTAAATTAACAAGTACTTTATGAACAAGTGGTACGTGTCATTTTACTGATGAAATTTATTATTTGTACTTGATTATCAGTCAAAAATATACTAATTTTTTAAATTCATTCACAACCTTTTACGTACAAAATTACTTACCGTAAAGGCGCGAAATAATGCTTAGGGGAATTAATTGAAAATTAGATACCCTTAAAATAGCACATGTAGCTTCAAATTAGTGCCCATGGGCATCCCAAAGATGAAACTGGTGAAACTGGTGCACCATGGTGTACCTTAATATCCAAATTGGTGAAACTGGTGAATGGTGATAATGGTGAAGCTGGTGAAACTGGAGGTGTTGGTGAAACTGATGGTATTGGTGAAACTGGTAATTGGTAAAATTGGTACTGTAATATTAGTAAAACTGGTAATATTAATAAACCTATTTTCTTCTTATTAAACTAGCATAAATAAAATAGAATTTAAAAGCTATTTATAATAATAAATTTTTATGAATTTAATTAGACTATATAAGTTTAGATTTTATTAATTTAAATAATTTTTTATTTACCCACAATTTACACGAATACAATGAACTAAGAGACTTCTTATAATGGCAGTTAAATGTGTATTTATAATGATGTTTATTTACAAAATTTAATAATAATCACCTACACTACCGGTATCACCAGCATTACAAGTACGTATATTATAATTACTAGTACTACCGGTATCACACTACCACCGGTATCACCAGTACCACCGGTATCACCAGTGTCACAACCACCACCAGTATCACCGGTATCAGTTTCACTAGTTTGAGATAATGTCTATTATTTCCCGTTTTATTAATTGTTGATTACGAGGCTTTCGCTATTATTGCTGGGCACAACTTAATTCAAACTCAATAGGGAAATAGCCTCCGGTCATCAGCTTATAAAACGGAAGAATAACTCATTTATTCCCCGCTTCGTGGGGAATAAATAGTACGTATTTTTATTATTTTTTATTTTATTTTATTTTTTAAATATGATGCCATATAGATTTTATTATTTTTTTGTTGCAGTTATTTGCTCCAATAATTCAATTTTTTATAAACTTTGAACGAAGATAAATTTGATGTTTTAGTCCTTAAACGTTGATTAAGGGCTTTGGCAAAGTTTAACGCTTAACGCTAATTAGTCGACTAAATCATGTTTGAATCGGGATTGGCGGCATGTGACTAACTTTTTTTCGCCAAGGTATTACAGTAGATCGACATGCATAGCATAAAATTTGTCTGCCTGAATTCACTCTTTTTTTTTCATGCGACCGTTGTAGATTAAATATGAATAGGTATTATGAAAATAACGAGAATAATAATAAAAATGGTAAATTTATAAATTATTCGTAAAAAGTGTTTATTTCGAAATTATATTTACGAATGATAGATTTTACATGAACGAAATTTTTGGAGATACAGGTTTTTTCATAATGTGTTCATTGATCAAAACGTTAATATGAAAGATAAATCTTTAATTATTTGGTAATTTTGAGTATATATTTATTTTTTTAAAGATATCACTTTAACGCTTTTTGATGATTACCTACAATTTTTCAAGATCCATCAGACCGATCACGCAATCTATTACCATCTTTGACCTCCACATCAAATGTTGATCTTATTCGTATTGATATCGAAAGTATAACATTCCTTCCACAAAAAACACAACTATTCTCTGGAACCAACGCAGATGAATCATTATTTACAGAAATAACCACAAGAGTCAAATGCAAAAATTTAGAATTATGTGTTAAACTTGGAGAAGAAGGAATTTTTATAATTTTAGATCGATACTTAGAAGATCATGATACATCAGTGGAAGAACTTATATGTGTACTCGATAATGATGAAATTGAAGAAAAAGAACAAGTTAAAGAAGTCATTTTTATAGAAATTAATCAAGTGGTTGGGTTCAAAATAGAAAATCGTAATATTTATTTTGAGTTTGATAAAGGAATTATAAGAGAGGTAAGCATACTTATTACAGTTTATTAGTGATGTTAATGGAGTAAGGTACTCCAGAGTAACTGTGGAGTATAACCCACTCCATACCGGTGTGGTCCAGACATGACA